CCCTCCCTCCCTCCCTCCCTCCCTCCACCCATCGAATCAATCGATCACCCGTGATCCAGCCATCGAACCCCAACAAGCCTGCAAAAACGAAAACAAACAACCCCCCCCAAAAACGTACTAGTACCCACCTTGTGGCAAGTCCCCTATGGGTTAGCGGTATGCCGAGGGCTGCACTTATCCCCGAAGCTGCAGTTATACCTGAGGTTTGCCAGAGTTAACAGTACAAAGTTGCCACAGTCAACAAAGTTAACAGTACAAAGTTAACACAGTTAACACAGTTAACACAGTTAACAAAGTTAACAAAGTGAAAAGTACAAAGTTACCACAGTTAACAAAGTTAACAAAGTTAAAAGTACAAAGTTAACACAGTTAACAAAGTTAAAAGTACAAAGTTACCACAGTTAACAAAGTTAAAAGTACAAAGTTACCACAGTTAACAAAGTTAACAGTACAAAGTTAATACAGTTAACAAAGTTAACAGTACAAAGTTAACAGTACAAAGTTAACAGTACAAAGTTAACAGTACAAAGTTAACAGTACAAAGTTAACAGAGTTAAGAAACAAACAGTTACGGTTTGTTAACTTTGTTAACTTTCTACTGTTAACAAAGTTAACAAACAGTAACAATACAAAGTTGACGAACAGACACGGTATCAAACTTAATCGAAGGCAATGAGAGCAACAAAAATGTATTGCTGTGTCATAAGATCATGGGATAATATGATAGTTGGCATACTCGTGAACGAGGAAACTGAAGTGGGCCGACGGAAGAGGCGGATGAGACAGGATGTGCCTCGTTCCACCACGCACCAAATGTGAAAACTTGAAATGGCAGGAAATGTGAAAACTTGAAATGGTGTATGTATCTGGAGATGTTCTAGCACAAGATCATGTCAAGATGACATTTGGAGAGTAGTTGAACAAGACCCAAAGCAAGCTTGGAAGGGACTGCAAAGAGAAAAAATTGAATTTCCAGTTCTTTTCATTTCAACTGGCCGAATCTTTTCTTTACAAATCATCATGGTAGAGTGTCACTCGAGTCTGGTGCTGACGTCCCTCACACGGCATACTCACTGAACGACTTCTTGAACTGAATCTGGCCACAATTAGGTCCAGATAAGCGGCAGAGGAAACCTGCCGTGTGGGTATTGCCGCAGTCAGCTTCTCCCGGCCATGGTTCAACCCAGTTCAACAATTTTTGTCTCTTCTTGCTTTCAATTTTCAAATTGCATCTTTCTGTTCATCCACCATTCAATGCATGTTTGGTTACCATCGCTGTGTTGCCTTTGATTACCACCGAATGGAATGGCAGGTCAGAGGGGGAAAGAGAGAGAAGGAGAGAGGCTTTTCTATGGAGAGAGAGAGAGAGAGAGAGAGAGAGAGAGAGAGAGAGAGAGAGAGAGAGAGAGAGAGAGAGAGAGAGAGAGAGAGAGAGAGAGAGAG